CTTGATAGCAGAACTTACTCCCACCAACTCCACGCCCCTCGCCTCCTTGGACATCATGTCACTGACCTCCTCCTTCCCAACCCCCCCACATATCAGAACAGTGCACTTGCGAAAGTTGAGCGCCAGCCCAAGAGCTGACTCGAGGACGAGGAGCACGCGCCACGCGGCAGTAGTCGAGCGAAAGACATCCACCATTCCAACAAGACAGTCGTCAGCAGATGCACGGCACAGAGCAACATGGGCGGGGGGGTCTGTGGTATCCATGGCAATGCAAGATCAATGCATAAACAGAAGAGGGCCATAGAGCTAGGGTCACCCTGACGCACCCCCCTCTCGACAGGAAAGCTTCCGAATTTCTGCCCACCAAGAGTTACCGCGCCCTGGTTATTCTCATAGAGCACGATGTAGAAGTTAGCGATGAAGGAGGGGGACATTCATAACATTGAGCACGGCAAAGGCGGCGAAGGCGAGGGCCGGCGCGCGGAAGTCCGCGCCCGTGGAGGGCCGCCGGGCACTGGGCAGAAATGACACCGATCATTCAGGAAATCCTGCCTACGGCTCAATCAGTCCACCGCTTACAGGGTCGCCCTTGCGACCGGATGCCCATTGGCTGCCACTGCAGCAGTTTCCTTGAACATCTGTCGCCTGTGGAACTGTCCGTCTTCTCCAGGAGAGCAGCTTTCCGCGATTGTTGCAGAACGACTCATGATCGAAAGCCAGCGATCTCGTAGGCCGCCTCGGCTCTATGAGTAGCCCTGACCAACCAGTCCACCCGCGGCTCCATCTCCATCTCCTGATCGCCGTAACCCCCCAACTGCAACCTCGGGGCGAGGACGATTTTCCGCAACATCCGTCCCCTTCCAGTTCGCAGCCGCTGTTCCCGATCAATTGTCATTGTCCAACAGCCGCTTCCGTATATAACTGTAGAGGTAGTAACAGCGTCAAAGAGCTTCAACTGGGAAATGAGAAAACAATGAATATCACATAATACGTTACGAAACTTCCCGAAAGCTGACCATCCTTCATCCAGTCTGCGGCGAATCTCAGAATCATGGAACTCGTCGAAACAGAGAAAGCGCCCTAGATACGCCGTGCCAGAATCATGCGACATAACCTCAACATCCCCCCCACCTTAACGTGCGACTGTCGGAGACCACCTTTACGGGTGCGCACATGCAGATGCGACGGGAAAGCAGCTGAGAAACCAGTCGAGAGGATGGCAGCCGAGTCATGCGCGAGCAACTCTTGGTGCAGCCCCCAACTTTCTGCCTGCACTACATTCGCGAGCATTTGCCGACCTTTAACACACTTCTGGAGGGGTGCAACAGTCACTTGAGAGAGCTCATTCAATGGGTCGCAGAACGCTGCAGAGAGGATCTTCGCATCGGTGTTAGACATGGAGAGCGGGCGCGCGCATGCTGCATCCCGAATAAGGTTCCCTGCCCCGCCCCCCCTTCTGCTCACCCTCAGGTAGGAAAACCATCAGTAGTTCCCCCACATCGTCAGGCAGCTCTGAAACATGTCCATAGATAATCTCAAGAAAAAATTATAGAGGTACCCCGGCGCATCTCCAATTCGCCAGCACGCATATGGAATACCGTCTGGCCCAGGCATCGAGTTGCGGCTGCGTCGTATATGTTCTAAAAAGGCATCATATTCAACCCCCCAGGAAACCTCGAGGCCCTCGGGGGCCATCTGAACATGTCTCAGAATGTCCGCCCACCCGGCACGATCTTCCGTGGCTGGCGAATAAAAACGCGCCCCCAATATTCAGCAAGCACGTTGGCCGACTGCTCGAGTGTAGTACACGGGCTTCCGTTCGCGTCTAGTACGGCAGTGAGATAGGTTCGCCCTCTGAATGTCCTCCAAAGCTCAATCTTCCTCCGTAGTTGTGCTCGTGCAGCTTTCTTGGCATCATCGTTCATGCTGTTATCGTTCTCAATCCCCCCCCTTCCTCAGTTAAAAAATTAACATGAATCCCCTGCGTCAGTTCGCAAAGACCATGGCGGTCGTGACAGAGCGGGGCCTCGCAGTCAAAGAACCTCTGAAGCTCGGGATAGCAACGGACAGCCATGCACACCATGTGGCCCTGCTGCGCACGCACCCCCGCCCGGGCTACCATGCACCAGCGATGCTTCAACATAAAGGTCGAGGCAACTGGATTGGAGAGGAGATGCCGCGCGCACTTGACCACTGAGCACACGATAGCCTTAACAGCCTTCAGAGCATCAGCAGCATTTAGTGAATGAAGCTCCTCGGCTTTGTTGTTAAGCTCCGTGTCGAGTAATTATTGATAGACTTCGCGCTTGCCAATCAAGTTGGGGGGGCCCGCTATTCAGGCCAGCGGGGGGCTTGAAAGTGTCAGTTACGACCAACACTGGAACATGATCAGAGACACGGGCCTGGCAAAGCTTACCTATAACTGAAGCACGAATAGTAAGGTCAGCAGCGACCGCCGCTGGAATGTTGGAGTAAATGCTATCTAAACGCGCAGCGTGGGCAATGCTCCCGCCCCTCATCTCCCGACGAGTGTCATCTGATTGAAAGAGTTCAATCCAGTCCGAGCACGTCTGGTCAAAGAGCGCGCGGAAACGCGCGCCACCTCGGGACCGACCCGCCCCGCCAGGAAACGCCCCCCCCCCCCCCCCCTCCCCCTCCAAGCTGAGATGCCAGCCCCAAGAAAATTGGAAGAAGAAGAAGAAGGGGGGGGGGGACAAAAAAAAAAAAAAATGCTCGGCAGGCGGTCAAACCTCGAGTAGCTCGCCAAGGCTTGATGCATGGACTGCTAGCGACTCGCAAGTGTTCGGCACACGGGCATTCACGATCGCCAAATTCCCTTGCCCCCCCCCCCAAAAAAAAAAAAAAAAACACTCATTAGCATCCTGCCTTCCTGAATCGCACGGCGTTGAATGGTATGAAACTGCTGGGCAAGATCAGCAGCGATGAAAGTGACAGGCCCTCCAGCCCTGGTGGAGTCCTGAAACATAATGCAACCCGCAGTCGCGTGTCGAAATTCTTGTCGTATACAGTTGGCGCCGGCGGTAGTCCCGTGAGTCTCGTGAACCCAAACAATTTTGCGGCGGCGCAGAGCCCGAAGAATTTCTCGCATCTAATCGAAGCATTCTTCTGACGACGGGTCCGCACCGAGCCGGAGAGACCAGGCGCATTCCAGGAAACGGGATCAAGCGAGGAGGCGGGGAGAAAAGGCTGCTGGTTCACTGCGTGCTGGCCACAGGGCCAGTCGGGAACCGTCAGAGGCGGCAACGGCTGCAAAAAAATTGGAGTCGTCTGGCGGGCTAGCCAGATCGTGAACATAGTCAGAAGAGCAGGAAGAAGAGGCGCTCGACGTGGACGACGAGCAGGAAGAAGAAGCGCATGTGATCTGCGAATTCGCGGTCGTGGTAACGTCCGCGGTCGCCCCCGCGCAGCGTGCCACCGAAGAAGCGGGCGTCGGAGACCATCAGCGTGCACTGCCGCATCCGTCTATCCACTGCTGCATCTGGTCTACGGGAATAACCCAGAAGGCGAGGTCGCTCGCGTTGGGCTTGAGCGCCAGCTTGCCGAGCCCAGCCCGCCCTGTTCACCTTTTGCCAAGATGAATAAGTCATCGGATGTACGGATGAAGAACTCGTTGCGGAACCCGTTTGCGCCGATCTTGTAGTCGGCTTGGTACTTGTTGTTATTCCTCAAGAACTGAACGATCGGCGCCCATAAATGTGACATGCGTCTCTGTCGATGACGGACGTCATCTGGGAGGTCGGTGTGAAAGCGTAGAGCATGACATGATCCGTCTCGAGCATCCTTCCATTGAAGCTGCTGCTGGATGAACCATTATTTGAATTTCGTTGCCGTGCCCTCATTCTTGAAGGGGATGGAGAAACTTTGACTAGTTTTTGCAAACTGCGCTGTGGTGCCGTCCATGAGGTGGCTCGGTGCTCCTTGCTGGAGCCGCTGCCAGGTCGTCTGTCTCGCGGCAGCAAGAACAGCGCGTGGATATCCACTCACCCACATTCTACATGAATCGCTGGTGTCTGTCCCAGCTGGCATACCCACTCCAGCCCGCTTCGTCCTGTCTGTGCCAAGCGTGTTGGAGGCTGTCACTGATGCTGTCTTCACAGCTTCTTCTGAAGCCTGGATACGTATCTCCATCTGCTGTACTTTGATGTCGACTGCTGCCATCCGTCCGTCCAATTGTTTGATCTGGCCCGTCAGCTGGCTGTTCGTGTCGGTGGCCGTCTTCGTCAATGCAGCGAACTGTCCTGTGACGAAACCCGAAAACCACTCAGGCGCGGCATCTCCCATGGTTGCGCGGGTGACTCTGAACTCACAACTTGCGAAAGTGAGACTGGGTGAAGTTGTGTCAAAAGGGCCTGCCCCCAAGCCCTTGTGTCGAGGGCCAAGCCTGAAGACAGGCCCGAGCTGACCTGGCCAGCTGCCTCGGTATATGGCCTATCGAGGAAGCCATGGTGAACACGGATAGGCATGGCCTGGAACCCCAGCCTTACTAGAACGAACGATCACAGCTGTCGATATGAGGAACATTCGAGGGTACCCTCCCCCAGGCTTCACCAGAGCATGCAGCAGAAAGAACCTTCGGCACCCTCCCCCAAGCCGAGCAAGTTCTTACGCCTCGCTCCGACAGCATTAGAAGCCAGAGAAAACACAATGGAATTTCACACAAAGGGTTTTGGCACCACCAAAGGTGCAACGCATGTGCACCCATGCCGCTGAATCCCTGGCGATCCGACCCAGGGTTGATGTACGGCCGCGCTCTAAGATGCAATTGAAAGGTATGGTGTGGCAGCGCTGCCGGCGGCGACAAGATCCCAAGCTCCGCTACCAACAAACATTACATGGTGGTTTAGCACAACCAGACCACCATGCAACGTACTCACCACACAAACCGCCAGCTCCAAACATCGACGCCACCCCGATCCCCGCATCCGTGCCAGGCACCCCCTCAACGACGCCCCCTTGCGGCGTAAAACCAATAAAACCCTTTGTGTGTGATGCGTGGTTTTCCTTTTCTGAAGCATCACTCGCGCGAGAGCGGGCCAGGCGCAAGGACAGCCAGCGACGACGACGACGACGACGACGACGACGACGACGACGACGACGGACGACGACGGACGACGACGACGACGACGACGACGTCGACGACGACGACGACGACGACGACGCGCCGCGAGCGACCGGCCCCGCCTCCACGAGAGGCGCGGGGCCCCGCGGCCCCTCAGCCGACGTCGACGTCCACCACCGCGGGCCTGGGCGGACGGCGGCAACCGAAAAACGTGGCCTGCAAAACGAGGGCAGAATCGCGACAACGTCGGACTGCAAGACAGTTGCGAATCTCTGAGAATCGGCGGGTTTGGAGGATGCATCGGGCGCCGCGGCCCTTTCAAAGCGTTCTGGAGCGCTCTGAGAGCGTTCCGCAGCGCTCTGGAACGGATGCACCTCGATTAGTGGCCCGTTCGAGCCAGGCTGAACCTCGGCCAAGCTGAACCTCGGTCAGGCTGAACCTCGGCCAGGCTGCCCTCGGCCAGGCTGAGTTCGGCGCGGGCCGAGGGGAGCCTGGCCGAGGTTCAACCTGGCCGAGGTTCAGCTCGGCCGAGTTCGCCTGGCCAGAATCTTTTCCTTGTCATCCCAGCTGGGGCTGAGTCGATGGACGCGGAGAATCGCGCCGCATCGCCGATGCATCGGCCCTGCATCGGCGAAGTCAGCGATGCATCGGAAAATCGAGCTCCGCGTCGCGCGGCATCGCCGGATACGTTGGCGATGCGGCATGACCCTCGAACCCCATCTGTTCAGAACCGATTTGGGGAGTCCTGGAGGCCCTCGACATCGCTCGTACGTCCATTCCCTGTGCATGTTTCGGCTTCGTGCGCGCGTTTCTTCGCAAGGTGAACAAACGTGCTCCTCGATGGTCCCTTGCCGAGCAAAAATGCACGCGTCCGAGCGATGCCAAGGGCCTGGGACAGAGGCAACGGTGAGGTGGTGGAGTGTGGGGGGGGATCCAGACCTCCAACGCCTCGAGGAGAGATCAGAGCGGACTCCCGGAGAGGATGCGGCGCCCTTCGGGCTCTCTTGTGGAGGGGGGGGGGGGTCGAAAGACACACAGGGGGGCCCGGACGGAAAAGCAGGACTTCGGAGTTACGTGAAGGAGCGGGGAGGGGAGGACGTGCAGACGGGGAAGACCCGGAAGGAGCGGGGAGGACGAAAGGAAGCGGAGGGCAGGAGACGATACGACACGATCCGACCACCGAGGAGGACAGCAGCCCGGGCCCAGCTCAGAGCTCAGACAGGGCGGGTGAGGCCGTGGCCTCGAGGTCTCGGGCGTGCCTAGAAGCGGAGGGCAGGCAGAGAGGGGCGAGGGTAGGGGAACGAAGAATGACATAAACATACAAACTCGGAGGTCCGCGCAGATTTCTCGGATCCGCGCTGGACCCCCTGGCGGCGCCTCCGGCGCCGCCCCTGGCGCGCTCCGCGCGCAAGAAAGGGGGTCCAGCGCCGATCCGAGAAATCCGCGCGGACCTCCGAGTTGTTACGTTTATGTCATTCTTCGGTTCCCTAGAGAGAGGGAGGGAGAGGCGAAAGGAAGAGGAGGCACCCAAACCTCCAGCGCGGTGCTTCCAGTCACGACGCGGGCCCCCAGAGTTTTCTCTCGACCCCACTCCCTGGGGGCCGGTCCTCTCGTCGCGGGCGGCGCCCGAAGGACAGCCACAGAGGACGGAATCGCGAGAAGGCGCCCATCCCTTTCTTCTTCAATACCCGCGGAGTTCTGGGGGGGCAGGCAAGGTCCTCGAAAGACGAAGCCAGGACGAGGATAAATTCGGGTGAGGATAAGTTGGGAATCTCTTAGATCCCGCGGCTTTGGAGGATACATCGGGCACCGCGGCCTTCTCAGAGCGTGCTGGAACGCTATGAGAGCGTTCCTGAACGCTCTGATACGGATTTACCCTCATCATCCTCATCACCATCACCATCACCATCACCATCACCATCAGCATCAGCATCAGCAGCAGCATCATCATCTTCTTCATCATCATCATCATCATCATCACCGCCACCACCACCACCATCATCATCAGCAGCAGCATCAGCATCGTCATCATCGTCATCAGCAGCAGCAGCAACATCAGCATCATCATCCTCCTCATCATCACCACCATCATCATCATCACCACCACCACCACCACCATCATCATCATAAGCATAATATTTATCATCATCATCATCATCATCATCATCATCATCATCATCATCATCATCATCATCCCCACCACCACCACCACCGCCACCACCATCATCATCATCATCATCATCACCATCATCATCACCACCACCACCATCATCATCATCATCATCAGCAGCAGCATCATCATCATCATCATTTTCATCATCATCCCCCTCCTTCTCATTCTCCTCGCCCTCCCTCTCCTTTTCTGCCTCTGGACGCCAGAAACTGCGGGCACCACGTTTTTCGGTGCCGTCGCCAACGGGGTACAGCTGAGGAAGTGAATGGGGTGTAGTCATGACTGCGACCCTGCACCTGTAGCTCCGACGGAGCCCCAGCTCCCTCCTCGTCCTCCTCCTCCGTTCCCTCGCTGCCAAGGCAAGCATCCCGCATTGTCAGCATCGGCCCAGTCAATACATCAGAGCCCGCCTGTGAGACGGACATCCCCCGACCACGGGTCGACCCTTCTGGTGCAGCACTGTCCTGTAGCGCGGACGGGCCGTGTGTAGGAGCAGCGACCCCCAGTTCCAGCGCCATTCACGAATAGCCCCTGCATAGAGTAGCATGATCCGAAATCCTCCCCCCCTCCTCGAGGATCCGTCAGTATCGAATCGGGCCGCAGCGGCTCGGGGTCAAATCGAATCGGATCGGCAGCGCCAGAATGCACAGCAACCCCCATGCGAGCATGGGGCCGCATCGGATCGCCAGAACATCGGAACCGAATCGAATCGGGCCGGCCGAAATCGACAACGAATCGAATCGATCGGATCGAAATGGGCCCTGTCCTCCTCATACGAGGTCCACCTAGACCCCTTCCCGGGGACTGGTCGTTCATCCCGAGTGGATTGTTGACGGCCCCGGGAACCGGCAAGCGCCAGTGCCCAGAGGCCGAAAAGTTACACCTTTCCGTCGACACTCTCCAACACAAGAGGAAATCACCCTGCCGTATGGGAGGAGAGAGCCTGTAATTCAGCGCCCCGAAGAGCAAGATCAGCAACGCCAGGGCCCCGGTCACTTGCACCACGAGCCAAAGGCCCGCCGCCTCGCCCTCGTTCGTCACCTCGACGACGACGACGACGACGACGACGACGACGGCGACGGCGGCAGCGGCGACGACAGCGGCGACGACGGCGACTGCGACGGCGACGGCGACCACGACGAGGGCGAGGGGGGGGAGTGGAGGTCGAGGGCGAGGAAAGGGACCAGAGTAAGCCCAAGATGTGTCAACGATGCTGCAATACACCCTCCCGTCCCAAGGCCCCTCCAGACCCTTCCCTTTCTCCAAGAAGCACCCCCATTGAGAGACCAGCGCCCTAGAAGCCTGCCACTGAGGCGAGAGGCCCATTCTGAAAAGGAGCTGCCTTGCATCCTTCAACATGCGAACCATCAAGAATGCGAGAAGGTATAGGCAGACCGTTAAACCAGGTTTCCAGCGAGACCTCCATTTCGAATAAGACATGGGCCCCTGTGTGAAACTGCTGCATACACAAGTTACAACTCTGGTCTCATGCACTTCGAAAGAAGTCTCAAGCGAGAGCCCCAGCCTGACAAGGAACCGCCTTCCATCCGCACATCTGCTACATCATCTGAATAATCGAGGAAGTCTCAGGATAGCCCGATTGTGAGAGACAAGCGTCCTCCAACCCTGCAGCTGTTGCAAACTGATAAGACGAACGTACGCTGCGCTAAAGCGCGAGCCCAATGATGAAGAAGGAAACGCACTCCATCCTCGAAGCTGTGAATAAACTATGCGACGAACACATTGGGCGCTAAGGCGAAAGCTCTATTTGAAAAAAAGGCCCTCCACCCGTGCAGCTGTTTCAAGCGTTTCAAGCGAATGATGAGCGCGGCGCTACGGCGAAGCCACGCTTTGAAAACCACCCGCTATCCTTCCTTCTGCAACTATTGGAAAATCCAGCTTCAGGACCGCAAGTGCCCGGAATTCTCAGGCGAAACGCCAGGCCCGCCCTAACGATACACCTGGTGGCCAGACGAGGAGGGATTACCTGTCAGAAACATGGAGGGAGGAGGCCGAAGGGAGGAGGAGGAGGGAAGGAGGAGACAAGAAAGAAGAGGGAGAAGGGGAGGGGACGAGGGGAGGAGGAGACTAGGGAAGGAGGGTAGGAGGGGAGGAGGGGAGGGATGGCGGGAGGAGGGAGAAATGGGGCAGCGCGCAGGTGCAAGAGAGGGCCAGACGGCCCCATGAAGGCCCAATATGCAACCAGCATTGCCGAAAAGGCCACTAGGGCCCAAGACGCCCCCATGACGGCCACCCCCCAAGAGGGACTCCAGAGGCCCGAAAAGGACTAAGCCCGTCAAAGAACCGAATGAAAACCTCGATCATCGAACCTCGATCCTCAAATACTACCCTGAGACGGTCCAGTAGGCGCCCGCCTCCCTTCCCTCTGCGCCCCTTCCTCCTCTCGATCCCCCCTTCGCGCAGAACTCATGCCGCGGGCGCATCCGTCCTCTTCTTCTGATCCTCCTCCTCCTCCTCCTCCTGACTCCTTCGTCGTCGGAGGAGGAGAAGAGGGAACGGAAGGCGACAACGACGACGACGACAAAGACGACGACCTGAACCACGACGATCACGACGACCACGACGACTAAGAAGACGACGACGACGACGACGACGACGACGACGACGACGACGACCACGACAACGACCACGACCGCGCGACCAAGACCAAGACCACGACGACGACGACGAGGAAAGAGGAGAAGGAGGAGGATGAGGACGAGGACGTCGACGACCACAGGAGGTGGACGGCGACGAGCAGGAGGCCCCCTGATCGTAGTTGCTCGGATACGCAACACGTAACCCGCAGCGTGTTGACACGGAGCTCAAGACACAGACTGGAAACGTAGATCTGGTGTGATACATTCGCCAGAACGTAGGCCAATACGCTGAGCCAACACGCAACGTACTGGCACGAACGGTGTGAACACGATACGTCTTGCGTTTCAAAACGGGCGTATCGAGGCAACGAATCCACTGGTCGCCTGATAGAGCGTGAACAAAGGGGTCTCCAAGGCCTTCGGCTTCTTGCTCAAGTCCTCCATGCCGCTTTCGGGCGGCATCGCCTCGCCGGACGGGCGGCAGAAACTCGGAGAGGAAAGGGTAGGGGGGGGGAGAAAAGGACAAGGAGGGAGGATCGCATACGGGGGGTGTCCTCACCCGTCCCGCCTTGCTACCCCCCCCCCCTTACCACGACACCCGACGCCACGATTTGCAGGTGGTGCCGTTCAAGGTAACTGTCGAGCCTTCCCCGGGACTGGTTTGTTGGCCGAAGATGGCTCCAAAAGGGCCTAGAGAGCCCAAGATGGCCTCCAAGATGGCCCAAGATAGCCGGACATAATGCAAGATAGCCTCCGACATATCCCGAAGGGGCCCCAATACAGCCCGAAGACAGTTCAAAGTGCCCTTCGAGCCTTCTTAGACATCCTCCAAGAGGCCAGAATCATCCAGAAACCAAGGGAAACCAATGTGTTTGGCCTTCTCGCCTTTTCGTTTCCGATGGGCTTTGGAGACCTCAAGATGGCCCCGAGACGGCCCAAGAGAGCCACAAGAGGGGCCCAAGAAGGCCCCAAGAAGGCCCCAAAAGCGCCCAAGAGCGCTCCCAGAGCGGCCCAAGAGGGCCCCAAGACGCCATTTGTGATTCTTCGAGGGGGGAGCCTGAATTGAGGACCCCCTTTCTTTTTGAGCCATGGGGCCCAAGAGGCCTCCCAGACCCCTCCAAGAAGCCCCAAGAAGGCCCCAAGACCCTTAAAATGAGCCCCAAGAGGGCCCAAAGAGTGCCGCAAGGGGCCCCACGAAGACCCCGCGAGAGCCCCTAAGATGGCCTAGTCGTCCTTGCAGAACCTCTCACAAGAAGTGAAAATCTCCAAAGCCCGACGTCTCGTCCTCCATGTCATCGTCCGTTCCTTCCCTCCTCCTCCTCCTCCTCCTCCTCCTCCTACTCCTCCACCTTCTCCTGCCCCTCCTCCTCCTCCTCCTCCTTCAACTCCTCCTGGTCTTCCTCGTGCCGTTTTCCTCCTCCTCCTCCTCCTCCTCCTCCTCCTCTTCCTCCTCCTCCTCCTCCCTCTCTTCCTCCACCTCCTCCATCTCCTCCTTCTCCTCCACCTCATCCTCCTCCTGCTCCTCCGCCTCGTCTTCCTCTTCCTCGTCCTCATCCTCTTCCTCCTCCTGTTCCTCCGCCTCTTCCTCCTCTTCCTCTGCCTCCACCTCCCCCTCCTCCTCCTCCTCCTCCTCCTCCTGCTGGTCTCCTCATCCTCCTCCTCTGTTGCCTCTTTTCTTTAGTATTAGTACGATTACTAACAGTATCCGATTTCATAGCACAAATAATTATATGTTCTTCGTAGTCTTAGTATTGGTACGTGGCTCCGGTGTTATTGACATGTGTATGATTGTGTTTAGTATTGTGTTGGTTCCGATTTGTTGTTAGTAGAATGATTGTGTATCCTCCTCCTCTTCCTCCTCCTCGCATGGAATGACCTAGGGCCAGGAGAGAACCTTGAGCGGCAATTTACTCGGCAAGTCTCGTGCTGCAGCCCACATGCCCAAGTATGACTGCAATGCGGTAAGTGGCTCACTCGTTCTCGCCGCTGTTCGTCGAGCAGGTGTGAAGACTCATCTTCGTGTCCGACGTCTTCGTATTTTCCGCAGGCTTATCCACTTCGGTTCGGAGGTTCCCAAAGGTCTCGTTGCGTTGACCTACCACACTTCCCCATCGTCCTTGCTCCAGGAAGTCTTGAACAACGTGATGTGACTTCAGCATGTCGTCCAGGACCTCAAAGACTTTCCCGGCCCCTCTTCAGACGCTCGTCCTTGGGAGGCACTCGTACACAAGCCATTGCAGTCATGGAGGCAACTACTGCGGCGCGCGCAGACGAACCACGCTAGCTATGGCAGCGGCACGTGAAGCTCATTGCTGTGATCCATCCATCATTGCCCATCCATCATCGTGATCACCCTCTCCGTCGTGACGAGCTCCAAAGCTTGAATGTTCTCGAGTGCCCATGGTGCCACTCCGAGTTCCTCAAGAGGTCCGCCTTGCAGCAGCACATCGTGAGACAGCATCATGCCTTGTGTCAAGCATGTTGAGCTCGTCATGGGCCCTGCCACACATTGCAGAGCGTGTGCAACGACCTTCTCACAACGCTGGCAAGTCAGAGACTATCTGGCAGTTGACTCTGTGCGGTGCTGCTTGTCATACTTCCTGCACGGAGCGGAATTCACGCCAGAGTTGGCCCGTTGTTGGGCCCAAGAGGACGCAGCTGAAAAATTGGTGCAGCGCAGGGCTGGTCTCGGGAGATGGCGGTCTGCGTTCCCTGCCTCCACTACACTATGGTACCACCTGGAGGGCTCTTGTGGGACTCTACTTGGGTCTATGCAACGTTCCCGGTCTGAGGAGGTCAGCTCCAACCTCCAAGGATCCCTCTACGAGCTCACAGATGAGGCCTGCCAAGTTCTTTACCAACAGGCTCCGCAGGCTCTTCCTGGCGCTCAAGGTGCCCCACATGATGCCCATGCACAAGATGCCGTACATGATGATAGGTACTACATCTATCGCCCTCAGGACTTCACGGGAGTTGCCCAAATGCAAGTTCCTGTTAGAATACACCGTGCTTAAGTATTCCTCCTTGACCTGTTTTCGGGAATGCGCCGTCATGAAAATATACAGTCCCACATTGAGTCGGATGTCATCTTGCCCGGTTGCCATATTACCATGCTGTCCGTGGATATCGCGATCCACCATCTGCGCGGTGATCTCACACGGCGCCAGACCATAGTTGAGCGGCGTGATCACATCAGTGTACACAGAGTGTGGGACACAAGGGGGCCCTGTGAAACATGGTGCGCAGCGCGCCGGCTGGAAGAGCCCCCCCCCCTTGAGATTCCGTTGACTACATGTGGGGGGTCCCATGGGCCTCAGAATCGCAGCAGCAACAATCGGAGACTGGCAACATCTTGCTTGCTGCCCTCGCTCAGCTCCTTGGAGAGCACATGGTAGCAGGCAGGCACCAGCGGGTGGATGGAGCACCCGCAGCCTGCAATCTGGCGTCAGAAGGCTCACAAGTCCTGGATGTGGGGCCCGTTGCGTGCACGCGCTTCCTAACCAAGTTCGGCGACTACCGATTTTGATCAGTGTATCTTTCAAGACAAGGAGCCCGGTGAAGCAGGCAGAGCGCCCACAAGATTTATGCCCATGCGCATGCCTACACTGCATAATACAATATGTAACGAGGGCAATAGAAATAAATGTTCACATGGTAAGGGTTCACACCTCATAATCTTGGGGAAGTCTGGGGACAATGAGTTTAAGACCGCCCGCAAGAAGACGCATCCTCCACGTATGTGTGCCGCCATTGCCTCTGCGATTCGGGAACATATTGCTACCATAACGAATGGTACAATCCCTGTGCAGTGCGACCTGGAGGAAATAACGCGTGGATTGCATGATATTTATGCCAAACTTGATCTGGACAAGGAATTTGAGCCAGCACCTGATTATGCGAAAGGGAAGAATCGGCGTGAAAGAGGGGACCCTGAAGTGAGTAGGTGGGAGGCTTTTAGGACCAGTACCTTCCCTCCTCCTCCACCCTCCGAACCGCCGTCGCCGCCGCCGCTTCCTCCCTTTTCTCCTTCTGCCCTGCACCTAAGGGAGGACGCCGCGGAGGTGGGAGGTCCCGAGGACCCCCACGAGGCGAACGCAGAGGCCGCCGCCGCCCTCTTCGAGGCGGATGCGGACCCCCAGCGCGCCGCCTCCTCCCCCGCCTCCGGAGCTGTCAGAGGCGCAGCTCGAGCGCATCCGCGCCAACCGCGCCGAAGCGAGCAGAAGGCGGCGGTTGCGCATCGCTCCTTGGAGTGCTCACAGCGAATTCGGATTTCGTTCTTGAGTTTGTTCTGTCTTTGGTTTCCAGGTGAGCACACGTGGACCGTCACGCCACCGTTCACCACCACCACCCTCCTCCTCCTCCTCCCTCCCTCCCTCCCTCCTCCCTCCCTCCCTCCCTCCCTCCCTCCCTCCCTCTCCTCCTCCTCCTCCTCCTCCTCCTCCTCCCCTCCTCCTCCTCCACCTCCTCCTCCTCCTCCTCCTCCTGCTCCTCCTCCTCCTCCTCCCTCCCTCCCCCTCCCTCCCTCCCCCTCCCTCCCTCCCTCCCTCCCTCCCTCCCTCCTCCCTGGCTTACCCAGGAGGCTGGCGAAACCCAGTTTGGAGGATTGCCAGGACGCGGCACGACGCATGCGTCGTACTGTTTGCGACTGGCACAGGCACTGGCTCGGGCTCGCAATCTGGCTCTTGGTAGTTTGTTCCTGGACGTGACACAGGCCTTTTATCGAGCCATTCGTGAGTTCCTCATTCGCTCTACCCTCGACGACGACTCGTTCGCACATATCGTGAAAGCAGCTGGCCTGCCCCCCGCGGCCATGCACGAGTTGGCCGCACGGTTACGCGAACATGGGGTCTCCTTGGAACGCTCTACAGTGGACCCGCACGTCGTCGCACAGGTTACACAGTGTCACCAGGCCCCCTGGTTTGTTTGTGAGGGGTCTCGGCAGGTTTCACTTCCCCAACGCTCGGTGTTCCCGGGACAGCCGCTCGCAGATGTCCTCTACGAGCTGCAAATGACTGACTGCATGCGTGATGTACGGACGGCACTAGAAGCTGAAGGTCTTACCACCACACTGGTCGCACACGACGGCAGAAGCCTCACAGCACTGTTGGCAGGCACAGCCGTACATGTCACCTCACTGGCGGATATAGCATACGCCGACGACGGTACAGTGGTTGTGATGAGGCCAGCATGCGATGTGTACCCTGCTCTATGCAAAAATACTAGTCATAGTTTCCGACACCTTTGCCAGGAGGGGGCATCTGCTTAATATCGGTGCCACCAAAACTGTTGCTCTCCTCAATGTACGGGGACCTGGGGCCAAAGCAGCGCGACATGAGGTTTGGCACCAACAGGGCGGGCATGTTCGTGGAACCTCCGAGCTGTCAGGCACCCTTCGGGCCCCTGTGGTACCCAACTACGTGCATCTTTAGTCTGTTTTTGTGTCGTGTGTTTCCCTGACACCGGAG